CATGCACACCTCCTTACCCCCAAAGAGCTTTAAGCCCTGTTACCATTGAGTTGATTCCAACTCATAATGAACCTATAGATCAGTATAGAACTGCCCAACAGGGTTTCCAAGGCTATAATCTTCATAGAAGCAGATTGCCACATCTTTCTCCTGCTGAGTGACTGGTGGGTTCCATCCACTGACCTTTCGGTTAGCAGCTGAGTGCGTAACCACTGCACAGTCAGGGCTCCACCAAACAGCTCTAGGCAGCCACTAATCTACTTTTTATCTGTGTAGATATACCTATTCTGGGCATATCATATAAATAGAATCAAAATATGTAGGGTATTTTCTAACTTCTTATTGTTAGCATAATGTTTAAAAGGTTTGTTCATTTTATAGTATATATCACAGTTCTTTTCTTTTTATTGTCTCATTTCTCCCATTCTTTATTCCAGTGTTTGAATTTAAGGAGCTGTGTTGATGCAGTGGTTAAGCACTCGGCTGCTAACTAAAAAATCAGTGGTTTGAACCCACCAACTGTCTGCAGGAAAAAGATCTGGCAGTCTGCTTCTATACAGGAAACCCTGTGGAGCAGTTCTACTCTGTCCTATAGGGTCACTGTGAGTCAGAAATGACTTGATGGCAGTGGGTTTGGGAGTTGGTTGGTATGAATATATACATTTTATTTACCCATTCTTTAATTAATGGACATTTGGGTTTGCTTTTACTTTGAGGCTATTCTGAATAATGCTGCTGTGAACATTCACATATAAGTTTGTGCATGTGTATGTATATGTTTTCATTTCTGTTGAGTAGATACCTAAGATTAGAATTGCTGGGTCATATGATAACTCTTTTGTGGTAGTTAAGGTTGTGTGTTAACTTGGCTTGACCATGATTTTGAGTGGCTTGGCAGTTGGATGTAGTTATTTCCTATGATGAGATTAGACTGGTATAATTATCTCCATTGTGGAATCTGCTGTGAGCAGCTAATTTTTTGAAGGGGAGTTGCTTTCAGAGTGTGGCCTGCTTCCAGGATATGTGGAAATTTTGAGAAAGGTCTCTGGCTTTTTGCTCATCTTGGAGCCCACATTTGGTGAGTCTCCATCTCCAGTTCCTAGACTTGAACCAGTGGCCTGCTGTGTGCCTGCCAATCTTGGGATTGTTGCCTTTGCAGCCTGTGAGCCAATAATCTGCCATTTCACCTGCTGATCTTGGATTGGTCAGCCTCAGCAGCCAGCAGCTGTGTGAGTCGGGAAAAGCTCCTAGCTTATTCCAGTTGGCCTAGAGGGCAGAGCTGAAGCCCAAGGTCTAGGGGCCTCCACCTAGCCCCTAGAGCCAGCATTCTGAACTCTTGACTTCTACCCTAGTCTTTCCCCAGAACTGTTGTTCTTGTTGTTATGTGCCGTCAAGTCGGACCCGACTCATAGCGACCCCTCCTTGGGTTTCCAAGGCGGTATCACCGTGAAAGTAGATTGCCCAACCTTCCTTTCGAGGAGTGGCTGGTGGGTTTGAACCGCCAGCCTTCTGGTTAGCAGTCAAGTGCCTTAGGCACTACGCTACCAGAGCTCCTTCCTCAGAACTAGCATACTGAATTTGGACTTCTGGCCTCTTGGACTGTACGGGAATAGATTTCTGTTTATTGAAGCTATCCTTTTGTGGTATTTCTGTTATAGTAGCACTGAAGAACTGAGACAGCTGCATTTAACCTTTTGAGGAACTGCCAAACTTTTTTCCAAAGTTATTACACCATTTCATAATCCCTTGAAGATGCCAGTTTCTCAACATTCTTGCCAACATTTTTTTTTTTATTATTATTATTATAAACATCCTAGTGGGTATGAAGTGGTATCTCATTGTAGTTTTGATTTCCATTTTTCTGATGACTAGGGCTGCTGATCATGTTTTCATGTGCCTTTTTGGCCATGTATCTTCTTTGGAGAAATGTCTGTTTAAATCCTCTGTCCATTTTTGTTTGTCCATTTGTCTTTTTAGAACTGAGTTATAAGCATTTGTTACATTCTGGATAGTAGACCCTTATCGAATATAAGATTTGCAGGTATTTTTCCCATTCTGTAGGTTGTCTTTTCACTTCCTTGATGGTATAATTTATAGCATGAAAGTTTTTAACTTAATTAAGTCCAATTTATTTTTCCCTTTTGTTGCTTGTGCTTTTGGTGTCATATCTAAGAATCTTTAGTCTAACCCAAGGTCATGAAGGTTTACTTCTGGTTTTTTTCCTAAGAGTTTTATAATTCACACTCTTACATTTAAGTCTGTCATCTATTTTGAATTTGTTTTTGTGTAACGTATAAAGAAGGGGGGGGTCCAGATTCATTCTTTTGCATGTGGATTATCTGGTTGTTCAGCACCATTTGTTGCAAAGAATTTTCTTTCCTCATTGAAATATTTTGATATTTTTTTATTAAGGTGAAATTCACATAAAATTGCTCACTTAAAAAGAGTGTATCAGTGGCTTTTAGTACTCCCACAGTTTTAGGCAACTTCTTCCTTTATCTAGTTCCAAAACATTTTCCTCACCCCAAGACAAAACTCATACCCAGTAACCCCTAGCCCCATCCTCCTCCTTCTTTCTCCCTGCCACCCGTCCTCTGGCAACCCACCAGTCTGTTTTGTGTTACAGTGGTTTACCTGTTGTGTATATTTCATGTAAATGAAATCACACAACATGTGACCTTTGTGTCTAGTTTCTTTTACTTAGCTTACTGTTTTCAAGGTTCATCCACACTGTGGCATATATCAGCACTTTATTCCTTTTCATAGCCAAATACTCTTCCATTGTATAGATATGCCATATTTTGTTTCTCTACTCATTGATAGACACATGTGTTTTGGTGTATTGTTTTTAAGACTAGTACTCCAAGGCTTTTGACCTTATAGATCAGCATTCTGCTTTAGTTAAAATCCACAAATACACAGAACAAAGAGAGCCATTACTTCCTATTCTGAATTAAGTAAAATGGCATATATACTTAACAAGTTTTTTAGTTATCATAAAGAAGGTACTTAGTAAATGGTAGTATCCTCCATCTATTATTTATTTTATAGCCCTCTTACCTTATAAGTTGTTTCATATCTGCTCTCATTTAAAAACATTTAATGTTTTTAAAAAACATTAAAAAGCACATATAGGACAGTTTTTTTATATTGTCATTTTTATAGTAAATAATATTGATGATTGTAGCATAGTGCCTAAGGCACTTGACTGCTAACCAGAAGGCTGGCAGTTCAAATCCACCAGCCACTTCTCAGAAGGAAGGTTAGGCAATCTACTTCCGTAGTGATACTGCCTTGGAAACTCAAGGAGGAATCACTATGAGTCAGGTCCAACTCGACGGCACGTAACAACAACTCACTCAAAGTTATACAGCAAGTAAATGTCAGTATTTGATATAATTCCAGCGTTTTGTCTCCAAATTATGTTCTTTGCTGATAATAAAATGTCCCCGTACAAGTAATGGTAGCTGTTATGCCCTGAAGGAGCCCTTGTAATCAGTGGGTAAGTGCTCAGCTGTTAACTGAAAGCTCAGCATTTCAGCCTGCCAGCTGCTCTGCAGGAGAAAGATGTGCCATATTGCTTCTGTACATATTTACAGCCTTGGAAACTTTATGGGGCAGTTCTTCTCTATCTGAGAGGGTCACTATGAGTTGGAGTCAACTCGGTGGTGTTATGCCCTGAGTCACTATATATCTGATCTTCATTGGAGTCCATGATTATTCATTGAAAGATAATTATGCATACCTATTCTTAACATTAACCTAAAATATAGTTTAAACCCTAGTTGTAGTATTGGTGTCAAAAGCTGCTAATAACCCCTGTATCACTGAATTCTTTTATTGTGGAAGAGACCAAGATCTCTGACATAAGAGATGGACCATGTGCACTTTCTCTTTTATTCATCAGTATATGGTTTAGCATATTTATCTATATGATAATTGTAAACTCTCAATAAAATATTTGTTGAGTAAATTAATGAATGTATTATATGTTCTACTATCTGTGTAACCTGTCACTAAATTTCATCATAAATCACCACTAAAAATCTTTTAAATGAACAAATAATAAATTTTATAGTCTGATACTTATATTTATTGGAATGCTTTTTATTTATATTACCTTATTTAATATGGCTGTTGTTGTTGTTGTTATGTGCCGTCGAGTCGGACCGGACTCATAGCAACCCCTCCTTCGGTTTCCGAGGCAGTATCACTACGGAAGTAGATTGCCCCATCTTCCTTCCGAGGAGTGGCTGGATGGGAGCCCTGGTAGTGTAGTGCCTAAGGCACTTGACTGCTAACCAGAAGGCTGTGGGTTCAAACCCGCCGTCCACTCCTCGGAAGGAAGGTTGGGCAATCTACTTCCATAGTGGTACTGCCTCAAAAACCCAAGGAGGGGTCGGTCGCTATGAGTTAGGACTCCAGGACACATAACAACAACAAACTTAATATGGCAGATAATATTTAATCTCTGTTCTATGGTGAATAAACTAAGACACTAAAAAGCTTAGTGATTTGCTAGGCATTGACCCAAGTCTCTTTTATGACTCTTTCATACAGGTGTACTGTGTTCTAAAAGTTATTAAAATGGAATTATTTCAAAGTAGTCTAATATTGAGAAGATAAATTTAATAGCTTGAGATTTGGTAGATGTAAGCATAAGGTGTGATTCATTAATATTTCATTTATTCTAAAATTTATATCTGTATGTTTGACTACTTTTAATAGTATGATATCAGTTCTCTAATATGTCTTCATATATGTTTGACTGAATTTTATTCCACTCATAAGCTTCATGTTTGTTCCACTTTCATCCTCTATTTCTGTTAATAGAAGTCTATATATGATTTTTCAAATGTCTTGAAACATTAGTCATTCTATTTTTTTAGTCAAGGCGGGAATTTTCCTAGTTCAACAAAACATCTTTTTCAAATTTGCCAAAGGCTTTTCCAAGATACATTGTTATTTTAAATTTAGTAGACACTTTGATTTTCCTTTAGGTGTTGACAGCTCCTCCACCACAAGCAGTGCTTCTCCAGTGCCCAGCGGTTATGATGCCCTAGAAGGAGGCAGCTGTCCAGGTAATTTGTTGTCTTGTGTTTGTTGTTGTCTTGATGTTTATTTTAAAAGTCATTAAAGACTATTTTTTCATTAAATACATTTTATTTGGCTTTAGCTACCTTATTCTAGATGTTCTCTTTTGTACTGTGCTCACTGTTTTGCATCTGCCAAATAATGCAAACTTCTGGTGAAGGATTGTGGAAATACGCCATTCTTTCACAGACTTTATTTTTCTTTTTAATATAGAAGACAGAATCAGCTAGAAACCAAGTTAGACAAACGAATAGTTGATACCTTTTTTTATTGCTTTGGTTTGTTTTTTGTTTCCTGATCCTATTCCTGCTGAGAAAATTAAAAAAAAAAAAAAAAAAAAAAACTGGCTTAGCTACATATATACTTAAAGTTCTGATCTTGGAGAAATACTAACTGAAGTATTTGTTGACCCCTGTAAAAACAACTGGGGTGGGAACAACATGTAGAACAAATTCAGCAAAATACTGATGATTATTGAAGCTGAGTGACAGGTATATGTGGGTTCATTATTCTATTTATGTATGTGTTTAAAAATTACATAACAAAAAGTTAAAATGAGGAAAAAGGAAATGTTAAAGGTTGTGGCTCACCCAGGAGTCAAGTGTTTACAGAGTCTCAGTTCTCAGACATCAGCCCTGTGTTTTTCCCTTTGTTAGATATGCTTTCTTCATCAGCCAGCAGTCCTGCTCCTGATCCCACCCCTGAAACTGATCCTGCTCCAACTCTGGCTCCAGCTGCTCCTCATCCTACAAAAATGGCTAAACCTTTTGGCTATGGTTATCCAACTCTTCAGCCTGGTTATCAGAATGCTGCCGCACCACTTGCTTCTGGGGGACAGTCCAGTAGCCCGGTGTATTCTGGATTCCAGCAGTATGCTCAAGTATGTATTTAGTCACGTAAAGACACTGCATTTCTACAAACTGTGAGACTCTTACCAATTCTGACAAATCCCTGGTGATTCAAATAGATCATAAGTACAAATACAGATGCTGCGTCAAAGAGCCTTAGAATTTGCTATCAATTTTTTGTGTTCATATGTAGAAAAAGATAAAATGCACATAATTTTTAAAGTCATTAACTCTAGATCAAGATGTTAGTAATACTTTTTGTTTTCTTCCATGTACTTTTAGTTTCCAGGTTCTCTACAATGTACAGGTATTCATTTTCTAATGAGGAAATCTAAATAAATGTTAAGTTTTTTAAATCCTGTATTACTAAACTGACTGCTGACTTTCTTCTCAGAAAATGACCAGATATAAATGTAGTTCAGTTTGATATTACAGAATAATAAGTATTTTAAACTTATATTTATTGAGAAGAAAGTAAAATAAGAAGAAATTATTGGAATGGCAAAAGCAGTCTACTTATAATTAAAGGAAAACTGTTCTTACACCATTGTGATACAGATTTCATCATATTGTGGGCTAACAATAAAGATGAGAGAGAAATAGGAAAATCTTTTTTTGTTGTTGTTTAATTAAACCTTAGAATGAAGATGCATAAGGAAGGAGCAAGAAAGAAAACTGTGAGAAGCACTGGAGTAATAGGGTTGATTAGAACATGTCTCCCATTTTGTTAGATTTCTTTTAGGCTCTATTGGTCCAGATTAAACACAGTTATTAAGTTTACCTTATCTAATTCTTTTATACTTTGGGAAAATTCATATCTCTGGCCATAATGTAGTTTATTTCTATGCTCTGATGAGAAGAAAGCCAAGTTTAAAACAAGATGAAAGATATAGTTCTTAGAAATGTTGGAGAAAGAGAAAAAAAATTTTTAAATAATAATTGTTCTTCCATAATGACATAGGACAGAGACCCACAGACTATACGACCCTTGGACCAAATCTAGCCTTTTGCTTATATTTGTAAATAAAGTTGTATTGAAATATAGCCACATCCATTCTTTCGTGTATTGTCATGGCTGCTTTTGCACTATAGTGGTTGTGTAGTTGCAGCAGAGACAGTGTAGCTCTCAGAGCTTTAAAGTATTTACCATCAGACTCTTTACAGAAAAAGTTTGCTGATAACTGCCATAGGAAAATTGGGATTACTGTTCTTTTTCCATTATATTTGGGCAATTATTTTGGAAAAATTAAGAGATTGGCTTTGAGAATAAAAGTGAAAATTAATATACAGTATGGAAGGTATTTTATCCAACTTTATTTTATTTCTGTGTAATTAAAATGCTTTTTGTGCTCTTGGACTAGAACAAGGATCAGAGGAGTTTGGATAAAGGAGACAGTGACAGACTGAAAGTAACATGGACTATTAATCACAGTTGACATGAGCATCTTAAAACTAAAGTATTTAGTACTAGACTGTTAGTGATCATTCCCTCCCATCCTTCCATTTTTTTTTAATTTTTACTGAAATATATATTATGTAAAAAAAGTATACAAATGAATAACATGCAGTTTGATGAATTTCTGCAAATTGAACACACTCACTTAAAAACAGCCAGAGGCCTGTCTCATTCCTCTTTTAGTCACTCATTCCCTCCCACCCCCAAACAAGAGTAACCACTGTCCTGACTTGTAGTACCATAGATTTGTTTTGCCTATTTTTAAACTTTATATAAGTAAAACCATGTTGTATGCATTCTTTTGTGTCTGGATTCGTTTCACTCAACATTATGCTTATTGTATGGTTCTGATTTATTCATTCTTATTACATAGTATTCCATTTTGTGACTGTACACTATTTATTTATTTGTTCTATGTTGATGGGCATCTGAGGAGTCCTAGGTTGGGCCATTATGGATAGTTCTGTTGTGAATATTTTTGTGCGTGTCTTTTACTGAGCATGTGTTTGTAGGAATAGAATTGCTGGGTTATGGGGTATCCATACGATCAATTTTAGCAGTTACTGTGAAACATTTTCCAAAGCAGATGTTCTAATATATTCCTCCCATTAGCAGAGAGTGAGAGTCCCAGTAGCTTTATATCCTTGCCAGTACTTGGAATTTTAATTTTTTTTATATTAGGCATTCTCCTTCTGTATTTTTATAAGTGAGGAAACTGACACCCTGATTGATGAAATTGTCTGTCCAAGACCATATTTTGTTCTTACAATGCAGAAGGCTTCACAGTTCAGAGTTAAGCACTTTTTTTCCCTGTCTAACTGGTAGGGACTTGTGCAGAAGAAAAAGTCAGGTTTCATATGTGTACTTCTTTAAGGAAGATTACAAAGCAGTAATTTATTACTGTCTAGTCAAAATTTAAAATAATTTTTGAATGCTACTGTTCCAGGGTCAGCAAGCAATAATCAGCTAGTTTAAACCTACATTTAAATTGTTACCTATCTATTAAAAAAAATAGATTTTCATCCAAGATTAGCATAGCCTGTCAAGCTAGTTTTAAAATAAATCATTTGTTTGTAGAGTCCTAGTTAGGATAAATATATTTTACTTTCTTTGCTTTAAGCAGCCTTCACTAATAAAATTGAAATGACTTTAAAAATGTTATACTTAGTGTAGCCCAATATGAAGGTCCTGAAAAAACTTTCTTTGGATTCGTTAGTTTGAAAAGACCTTGAGTAAGCAGTGGAAAACTCCAATAGTTGGCATTTGAGGGGAAAAATAAAATTGTTTTGCAGATTTGAAAAACGGGGGGAAAATGGGTATTTAAATATGAAAAATCAGGTGCAGATACCATATAGCTGTTTTTACTTTTTACAAATGTAGTGTATGATCATTTACAGAAAATGCTATGTATACAATTCATATTCCCATCATAAAGATAAAACTACAACAAAACTTGGGTATCTTTCCTTCTAGGCATTTTGCTATATACGTCTTTGAAAAAAGCCAGTAAGAAAGCTGGTCATTCAGATGACTTGTTTAAACAAAGTTGATAGAGAGGGATGGTGTTTTGGAAATTTCTTATTCTTTTAACAATATATAAGGAAATCTTTCCATATTATTACATATTCTTCATCATTTGATGCTGTATGGCATTTCATAGTACTCTACCAGTCTGCTATTGCTGGGCATAAATTAATGTCAGCATTAACATCTTTGTAAAGTGGAATTACTGAATCAAAGGACCTAATTTTATAAGACTTTAGAATTTTTCTCTAGTTATTAATTCAGTGAATACTTACTGAGTTCCTACTGTGTGCCAGCACCATTGTGGGCACTACAAATACAAGACACATGGGTGAACAAAACAAAGTTTCTGTTCTCAAAAAACTTAAAAGTTGACAGGAAGCATGGATTAATGGGACAATAAATAAACAAACTAATAAGGTAATTTCAAATAGTTACAAGTATTATGAAGAAAGTAAGACAAATTGAAGAAATTGCTGAGATTGAGGAGCTAGAACAGGTAGTCAGGGAACCCTCATTGTAGAAACTGCTTTAATTAACAATTGAAAGACAGGAAAAAGTTAGCAATTGAAAGACATTGACAAATCTAGGAGTAGAGCATTTCAGGCTGAGAGAACATATGTGCAAAGACTTAAGGCAGAAGCAAGTTTGAACCTTTGTCAAGTTCCAGGAATAAAGTCCCCATGTGTCTTGAACTCAGCTAACAATGAGAAGACTAATAGGATGAAATTAAGAGAACTAGGCAAAGACCATAGAAGCTTAAATTTTTACCCCAAGTGCAAAGGGAAGACAGACATTGAAGATTTTATGTAAAAGAATGACATCTACTTTATTTAGAGGATCATTTTGACTGCTTTTTGAAGAATGCCTTAGGGTTGAGTTGTAAAGACAGAAATGGAAGCAGGGGGACAACTTTGTCCTAATCTGGAATAGATGATCGTGCCTTGTACTAAGGTGACATCAGTGGATGTAATAACAAGTAGATACAGAAGGGATATCCACATGCTGATGGATTGAATGTGGTAAGCAAGAGAAGAGAAGGCATTAAGGATAATTTAAAGGTTTTTGGCATAGCAGCTGGGTAGAGAGAAGTGTATTTATTGAAATTAAGTTGGTATCCATTCATACTAGATTGCTGTGAATTTCGGATGCTAAATATAATCTCTGTGATAACTACAAAGCAATTGTCTTAAATTATTTATATATACAAAAGAAACTCAGAAAAGAATCAAAATGTTTTATGGCAGAAAATTAAATATAAGATAGTTTTGAAGGAAATGAGGAACAAAAAATGGTAGAAGACACACAGGAAACAAATAGTAGAAGTAAGTCAGTTCTTTTCAGTAATTACTTTAAATGTAAATGGATTAAATTCTCCAATAAAAAGGCTGAGATTGACTAAGTGGACTGGATGTCTAGGATGCTAGACAAGAGACTCAGTTGAGATCCAAAGACATAAATAAATTAAAAGATCATTAAAATATTGCATGCAAATAGTAACCAAATGAGCATTAGAATGGTTATATTAATATCACAGTAAATAGGTACTAAGTTAGAAACTATTATACAAAGAATGACATTGTGTAACGATAAAAGGGTCAATTCATCAAGAAGATATGATAGTTATAAATACAGTGTAAGAAACAAACATTGACAAAAGGAAAAAGAGTTCAGCCGTCATAGTTGAAGAGATCAATGCACCCCTTTCAATAATGAATAGGACATCTAGACAGAGATGAATATGGAAATAAAGGACTGACTAGAGGACTATTAAACAACTAGCCCTAACAGGCATATGTAGAATACACCATCTAACAACCAAAGAATACATATTCTTCTCAGTGCACATGGAATTATCCAGGGAAAACCATATGTTAGACTACAAAATAAGTTTCTATAAATTTAAGATGATATCATACAAAGCAATCTTCTCCAGCCACAGTGGAATGAAGCTAGAAATCAGTAGCAAAAGGGAAACTGTAAACTTCACAAACTTTGAAAATCAATGCACTCTTAAAACAAATGGGTCCATAAAGAAATCACAAAGGAAACTAGAAAATACTTAGAGATTAGTGAAAATCAAAACACACCATACCAAATTTGAACACAGCCAGTGCTTCAAGTGAAATTCATAGCTGTACATACCTACATTAAAAAAGAGAGATCTGAAATCAGAAACCTAACTTTTATACTTTGAGGAACTAGAAAAAGAAGAGCAAACCGAACCCAAAACTGACTAGAATGAAGGAAGTAATAAAGATTAGAGTGCAGGTAAGAATAGAAAAAAATAGAATCAGCTAGACCAAAAGTTGGTTCTTTGACAGGATCAACAAAAATGACAAGAAGAGAAAATATGCAGAAACTAAAATTAAAATGACAGGACATTACTGTGGGCCTTACAAAAATAAAATAAGAGAGTGCTATGAACAATTATATGGAAATAAATAAGCTAGATGAAATGAACAAATTCCTAGAAACCATGCAGCTAAAAATAACAAACAATAATCATAGGAATGAATCTTCAGGACATTGCATTTACAATCTTAAATATAGCATCAAATGCATAAGCAGCAAAAATGAAAATAGATAAATTGGACTTCATCAACATTAAAAACTTCGTGCATCAATGGCTATTATCAACAAAGTAAAAAGATAACTGACAGAAGGGGAAAAAATATTTATAGATTATATATTCAATAAGAGGTTAATGTCTAAAGCATATAAAAAACTGTAACTCAGCAACAAAAAAAACAACCCAATTTAAAAATGAGCAAAGGTTTAAACAGACATTTCTCTAAAGAAGATTTGTAGGTGGTCAGGAAGCATATGAAAAGATACTCAACATCATTAGTCATTTAGGAAATACAAATCAAAACCACAATGAGACATCACTTCACACCTACTCACCCGCTGTGCCCAAGCCATTCCCACTCATAGCCATACTGTAGGACAGAGTAGAACTACCCTATAGGATTTCTAAGGCTGTAAATCTTTACAGAAGCAGATTGCCACCTCTTTCTCCCATGGATTGGATGATGGATTTGAACCACCAATATTTTGGTTGGCCACTGAATGCTTTAACCACTAAACCACCAAGATACTTCATACTTACTATGATGGATATATTAATTTAAAAAAGAAGTAAATTAACAAGTGTTGGGGAGAATGTAGAGAAATTTGAATTTTCATGAGTTGTTAGAGTGTAAAATGGTACACCTTCTGAGGAAAACAGTTTGATAGTACCTTAAAATGCTAAACATAGATTTATCATATGACCCAGCAATTCTACTCTTAGGCATATACCCAAAAGAATTGAAAATCAGGGACCCAACAGATAATTGTACTGAATATTCATTGCAGCATTATTCCCAGTAGCCAAAAGTTGGAAACAGTCCAAGTGTCAGTTAACAGATTAGTGGATAAACAAAATGTGATATAGCTGTATACATTGACATATTTAGCCATGAAAAAGGAATTTTGATACATGGATGAACCTTGAAAAATTTTGCTAAGTGAAATAAGCTAGACACAAAAGAACAAATGTACCATTGTTGTTACATGCTGTCGAGTCGGTTCTGACTCATACTAACCCCATGTACAACAGAACAAAACACTGCCTGGTCCTGCACCATCCTCATAGTCACTGTTACGCTTGAGGCTTTTGCAGTCACTGTGTCAAACCATCTCACTGAGGGCCTTTCTCATATTCACTGACTCTTTACTTTTCCAAGCATGATCTCCTTCTCCAGGGACTAACCTATCTGATAACATCCCCAAAGTATGTGAGACGAAGTCTTGCCTTGTTTCTAAGAAGCATTCTGGCTGTACTTCTTCCAAAACAGGTTTATTCTTTCTTCTGGCAGACCAAGTATATTCAGTATTCTTTGCCAACACCACAATTCAAAGGTATTAGTTCTTTCATCTTCCTTATTCATTGTCCAGCTTTCACATGCATATGAGGCTGTTGAAAAGACCATGGCTAAGGTCATGTACACATTAGTCTTCAAAGTGGTATCTTTGCTCTTTAACACTTTAAAGAGGTCTTTTGCAGCAGATTTGCCCAATGCAGTAAGGTATTTGGTTTCTTGCCTGCTGCTTCTATGGGTGTTGATTGTGAATCCAAGTAAACTGAAATGTATAATTCTACTTATGTGAAGTATCAGAATAGGAGGATTCACATTAGAAAGTAGGTTAGACTTACGGGTGTGAAAAATCTGTGAATGTAATGAATGCCACTGAATTGTACACTTAAAAATTATTAAAATGGCAAACTTTGTTATGTATCTTTTACCACAATTTAAAAAGTAGGTAAGAGAAAAAGTAAAACTCACTGGCATCATTGTGCATTTCCATACATCAACTCATTATTCTGAAAATTGATGATAGAAAAAACTTGGTATCATTTAAGCATTTTTGCTGCCTTTCTAATATGAACTATATTTCAGGGAAACCAAGTTTTGATATTGAAAGCATTTTTCCTGAACTTCTATTGTGTTATTTAACCTTGGTAATAAAATTTAAATTTACTCAGTATTTTTGTGCTCTGAGGTTGTTTTTGTTTTCAATTATGCTTTAAATTGAGTCTCCATATTGTCATTCTCCCTTTGCAAACGAGATTTAAATTTTCTTAGCTTCTTGATTTTTTTCTGTACGTTGAAATCCTGTATACCTTATAAGACATTTTATTCATGTTTGTTTAATATTCCTTTTGTGTTTTGTTTTCTTTTGGAATGCTCTTTCAGCAGTATCCTGGAATGAACCAGCTGTCCTCTAGTCTAGGAGGATTGAGTCTTCAGAGTTCTCCACAACCAGAAAGCTTGAGACCTATCAACCTCATTCAGGAGAGGAATATTTTACCCATGACTCCTGTTTGGGCTCCTGTACCGAATTTGAATGTAGACCTCAGAAAATTAAATTGTAGCCCAGAGTAGGTATTAATGTTGTTATCCTTTTTAAGTAATACACTTTGAAGAGTACATTGTATGACTTTCAGAAGTGGTATGGTATTAATTCCCTGATTGGAAGCTTTGTTAATAAAGACTTTTTCTATTTTAGTTTACATTGAAATTTTAAATGTAAAATTCAGTATAGGTCATCTTTTCCTATCCCCAACTATACCTCTATCTAGTCCTATTGCTGCCTCACCTAATGGCAGAAAATTTTTTTCTGTTTGAGTGAAGGCTTTCTAGAACATGTTTTATTAAATATATTTTTCCATAACTCCCGTTCTCTCACCTTTCACCGATAATAATGTCTGATGTCTTTTAAATAAAATAGAATCTTTAAAATTTCATTCCCTTCTTCAGTCTTTGCTTGACAAGGATGTAAACCTCACTTACATAATCCCACAAGCATATTTAGGTAATTGGTTTATCTCTGGATTTTCTTTTCTCACTCATTATAGAATATGAAGACCATTTATCCATAGACTTACTTATCCAATCTGAATTTAGATTTGAATTTCCTTTATTGAATATTTCCTCACCTCGTGGAGAGGGTTAGTTGGCACCCTGCATCCAGTGATCACCAAGCCCTGTGGTACCTTCTGGGTGGATGAGTTCTGGTACTCCCCTCGCAGTGCCTCTAAAACCAAATTTTATTCTTGCCTGCTTTCAGTACTTCTGTCCCCTAAGAAAAAGCTTTTTCTCTGGACCTAGTTGCTTCTTACAAGATGTCTTCCTGCTCCTGAAATCTTTCCTCTCTCATAAAGTAAACTCTGGTTCACAGCATTGTCTTCTTAGCTTTAGTTAGGAGAATTCTTGGAATTTACAGCCCTTTTCTTTTCCTTAAGGCTTTTTTTTAAAGCTATACACTCCACTTTTTCATACAGAGTCTTATATGGACTACAGAAAATAGAAATAGAAAGTCGAATCACTGAGGGTTCACACTCTTCCACCTCACTCTACCACCCTAGTCAGTGCCTAAGGTGGTGCCAAGATCACACCCATAAAAGTATAGGGCATGATGTATTATAAATTGAAAATAGCTGCTCATCCTTCTAAATGTAAGCTGCTATCAGGCTGATAAGTGTCTGTATTATGGTCTTGTGGTGTGAATAATGAGGCATCCTCTAAATAGTTGAGTATGTTATATGTATGTGTGTATACAAGAAATCACATAGGTAGGGGAATGGCATAAAGTATTTACTGAATGTCTCCAAAATTAAGTGCCAGGCACTGTTTCTGGGTCCTGAAATAGAGTAATAAATAAAACAAAAATTCTCCAATCTCATGAAACTTACCTTCTTTTAGGGGAGACATACTGTAAACAGTGAAACCAATAGCTATATAGTATTAATCACTGTTGTCAAGTTGATTACAACTCATAGCAACCTTATAGGCCACAGTAGAATTGCCCCACAGGGTTACCAAGGCTATATAAATGTTTACCAAAGTAGACTGTCACATCTTTCTCCTATGGAGCGACTAGTGGGTTTGAACTGCCACCTTTTGGTTAGCAGCCATGCGCTTTAACCACTGTGCCAGGACTCTTTCTTTATATAATATTAAAGATAAATATTATATAAAAATATATGTGGGGAGTAGTAAAGACTCATTTTCATCCAGAATAAAGGTGAGTAACTATTTACTCAGGACAGGTCTTCTCAAGGAGTTACCCAGTTGATAAGAGATCAAATGAAGTGATTGAGCAGGCCATGCCTCTCTGGGGAAGAGTGCTCCAAAATGCAGGAACAAACATGGTGTGTTCAAGGAGTAGGAATAAACCTAGAGTTAACAGAACAGAATGATAGAGGTGGAGAGTAAGAGTTAGTATGAAGAGATAGGCAAGGCCTTATATACCATTGTAAGGTGTCTAGAGTTTACTTTGACTGTATTGGGAAGGGTTTGAGCAGAGGAGTAGCATTTTTAAAAGACCAATACAGCAGCCATATAAAGAATTGACTGTAGGAAAGCATAGAGGCTAATGCAGTAAGTAGTGTGGGCAAGAGGTAATGTTAGGCCTGTTGGAGGTAGTGAAAAGTGGTTGAATTCTGGAGATACATTTTGAAGACAGAGCCAGCAAGCCTTATTATTGGATTGGATGTGAGGAGCACAAGCAGGAATTTTTTCACGAATTTGTGGTAACATACCAGCCATGTAGTAAACGCTTGGTAGGTGGTGATAATGATGTGGTAGTTTTGGCTTTATTCTTACTACTTTTCATTCCTGCCCCTAGTCACTGTCCCTTGGAATGAGATTTTAATCTTCAGTACCCTAGAGAATTTCTTAAAGGTCATCTTTGAGTTCCTTGTTACCAAATACATTCAGTCATTTTTTCTTTTTTATTTCCCCCTAAATGCCTACAATCCTAGATATCTGTATATACTATTAACCAACTCTTCTTAAAATTTCTTTTTTGATTTCTGTGACACTTCTTACCTCTTTGACTGTGCCTTTATTGATTCTTTGTCTTTTGACCTTAACTTATAATGTAATACAAAATATTTATGAGCACTTTGATTTCTTGTGTGATAAAATGATCTCTGATCTCAAATAGATAGGACAGGCAAGGTACATAACCAACTAAAGCAAATGACACTGTAATTGATAGCATAGAAGCATGAATTGATCTCAGAGAACAGAGGAAGGTCATTCTTCCACTGGGGGAATCAGGAGGTGGTTTCAGAAGTGATAACTTGGATGAATCTCATGGTAAGAGTTCAACAGATGAATAAAGGGCAGTAAAGCAGGAACAGCATCAGTAGAGATGCAGAGGTATGCATTTTCACTCATGTTTCTACTCCTTCCTGTTCATGCCTTATTTTAGTTAAAATGGAGTAATTATTTTTTCTTGAATGTGTTGTTGTTTTCTACCCTGAAAATGATGTGTCCTTAATTTAAGCCTTTTGGTATTTATGACACATATGCCTGCTTAAAGTAATCAGGACTTTCCTGGTTATAGTTGCTTAACACACCCAAATTATTTTTACTTACACCTTTAAATGTTCTTAATTACTTACATTCTTCAGTATAATTTTTTCTGATAGCTAATGTTAGTCCATGTTATTTATGTTTTTTGCAGTTCATTTCGGTGTACTTTGACAAGTATTCCACAGACACAGGCATTACTGAATAAAGCTAAGCTTCCATTAGGATTGTTGTTACATCCCTTCAGAGACTTAACGGTAAAGTAAATTTTTAAATATTTGTGAGTGCCAACGTGTACTTATGTGCAAGGTACTTGTATATTTTCCTAGAATTTTTGTCATCTTAATTCTTTTATTTGATGTTAGAAATAATCATTTCATTTCTGTGCAGTTCAACTCAGCAGATATTTTCTAAGCCAACCGCTTTGTGACAGGCCCTAAACCAAGCACTGGTAATAGAGAAATGATTACATCACTGGCATTATCCCTAAGAAGTTCAGACCTAACAGAGGATAAAGATACACAAGAAAATAACACAAGATGATTAATATATGTAATTGAACAAATTCTTTGAGGTACTTAGTGAGTACAGTCTAGGGAGTAATTCCCTCTGGGTATAGTAGGTAAGTAACATTTTCTATAAGACATAGAGTCTGAGCTGATAATTTTAAAATTTAATAGTTTTGGAAATTGGAAAGGCCCTAGAGAATAGATCAACTTTAGGAGTCCTAGGGGGAAAGCTATATGATTGTTCTTAATGACACCAAACAAATAATCTTTAATGACAGAAAAGCCAAAAGCTTGGAGCCTGTTGAATTAAAATAATAACTTGTTTTTGTTGTTGATTGTGTTACAGAGTAGAGCTGCTTTGTAGAGTTTTCTTGGCTATAATCTTTATGGAAACAGATCATTAGGTCTGTTTCTTCCATGGTATTGCTGCTGCTGTTGTTGTTTGTTATGTGCCGTCGAGTCGGACACGACTCATAGCGACCCCTCCTTGGGTTTCCGAGACAGTATTACTATGGAAGTAGATTGCCCCATCTTCCTTCCGAGGAGTGGCTGGTGGGTTTGAACTGATAGCCTTCTGGTTAGCAGTCAAGTGCCTTAGGCACTAAGCTACCAGAGCTGCTGGATAGGTTCAAATCCCACCAACCTTTCGATTATCAGACGATTATCAAACTGTTGGCACCTCCCAGGGACCTTAAAATATTAGTCTTTATGTTTCTATCATGTATTTGGTTTAATATCCAGCTTGCTAGATTTTTATACGTTCTTCTGTTATTTCACGCAGGTACACTGTATTTAAACTAAATTTTTCAGAAATAATTTTTTCTAGAGACAATTTTATTTAGACTTCCTAAGTTGTATTTCCCCTCATACATTTTTTTCACTACTGTGGCTTTCTATATCTCCCTCTTCCCCCCACCCCTTGCTACTAAGTTTCTTTCAGTCCCCTTTATCCAACAAATGCTTATTGATTACTTATCATACTAGAAGGAGCACTGATGATACAGTGGTTAGAAGTGCTCAGCTGGTAATCAAAAGGCCAGCAGTTTGAACCCACTAATTGCGCCACGGAGAAAAATAAGGCATTCTGCTTCCGTAAAGATTTACAGCCTTGGAAACCCTGTGGGATAGACAGTTTTACTCTGTCCTATAGGGTTGCTATGAGTCAGAATTGACTTGATGGCAGTGGGTTTGGATTTGAATCATGCTAGATATTAAGGATAGGAGCTCTGGTAACATAAGCCTAAGCCTAAGGCACTTGACTGCTAACCAGAAGGCTGGTGGTTCAAACCCACCAGCCACTCCTCAGAAGGAAGGTTGGGCAATCTACTTCTGTAGTGATAACTGCCTCAGCAACCCAAGGAGGGGTCGTTATGAGTCGGGCCCAACTTGATGGCACAGAACAACAACAGCACAATAGATATTAAGAATACAAAGGTTAATAAGCTTCCTCATTGAGCTTACTTTCATTTTAGGAAGTATAGGAAATAGCAAAATTAATAGAAAGTAAAATAATTATAATATGTGATAAGTACCGTGAATTTTTCAGTAAATACTATCTGATCACCTACAATTACGATTGTAACCTTTATCTCCAACCAAGATAACTGATTTCTTATGTACATTGGTGAGTTGTTTATTTTTTCCCTCTAAACACAGATAAACACAGATTCTATGTATGATACATCTGGAAGTTGTATATGCACTAAATTGTTAGAGTGGCTTCCTCTGGGATTGTAGAATGCTGGGTGATTTTTTTTTTTTTTTTTTAATTTTCCCTTTCCGTTTAACTGTAATTCCTGGTTTTTCACTACTGATATGTAGTTTCTTATATAATAAAAATAGTATATGAGAAAAAAACTAAACACAAATATATTTTTATGTGTTGATAGGTAAAAAAAAAATTAGCCAGAAGGGAAGATGGTAACTACTAACAAATGTTGACTCAGGGAGATAGATCATATGCAGTTTCTTAATCCTTTCTCATATTTTCTACACTGAAAAGAAAGTTCTTTTTTCAAATAAATCATAGAGAAATGTATTTTTTAAAAAGGAACAGCACATTCTGTTTTATTTGGGAGGCCTTACAGGGAGTTCTGGTGGCGTAGTGCCTAAGGCATTTGACGGCTAACCAGAAGGCTGGTGGTTCGAACCCACCAGTCACTCCCCAGAAGGAAGGTTGGGCAATCTCCTATTGTAGAGATACCACCTTGGAAACCCAAGGGGAGGGTCGCTGTGAGTTGGGACCGACCCAACGGCAGTGAGTCCATTCGCGTCAGGGCTGTTCTGGCAGCCTCATGAACAGTGCCTGATTGTCCATCTCTGTTTCCAGTCAGCCAATAAAGACAAAGTTATTTTTACACTATGAAGTTAATGTTTCTTTCTCACTTATTTCTTGAGTCTAACTGATGAGTTTTGGCTTACGTATTTTCTTGGTCAACCAAGCTTTTCTGTCGGTCAGTAACTTTCATTGTATTTAGCACAACTTTATTTTAGTGAGATCTAAATCACTGTCACCCTTGTGGCAAGAGAGGGAGAAAATTTGATAGCTACTTGTGTTGCTCAGCATATCGCTGGATGTTATTAAAATGCTTCAGTTTCAAACCATTCAGAAAGTTAGAGTTTCTATTCTGCAGATGGAGCAAAGCAGCAAGTGTTTTGTTGTACCCTGGGGTGGGTGCTCTTTTTTGCTACAACAGCTTTATTTTATTTCCTAGCAATTACCAGTGATAACATCAAATACCATTGTGAGGTGCCGATCTTGTCGAACATATATCAACCCTTTTGTATCCTTCATTGATCAGCGTAGATGGAAATGCAATTTGTGCTATAGAGTTAATGATGGTGAGTTTCACATTCTTAAAATAAGTGTGCTTTAATTATTTTAAACATTTTCTGACATTTTTGTCATTAGTTGATTTATTTCCATATCACTTTAAAAACAACTTTCATGCCATTTTTCATGGAGAGAATAGTTTAGGGATGCTTCATTTTGGCTGGTGAAGGGGATAATTGACAATGAGAAGAATGACAGGGAAAACAAAGTTAAAAAAAAAAATTTAAAAAAAACAGTAGATGTCCTGTCAACAACTCAGAGGGGGATCTCTTAATCTCTTAGGAGATTCTAGATAGAGTGGTAGAACAATATAGAACAAAACTCAAAAATCATTTAAAAAAAAAAAAAAAAGGGACCAGGTTTGCTGGTCTGATAGAGCCTGATGGAACCATCAAGACTATGGCCCCTAGCTACCCTTCATTCAGGTCTGGAATTGAACCCACTCCTGTGGCTGCCAGCCAAAGAAAAGACAGGCGTATGAGCTGAACGTTTACATTAGGTGGATACACTCCTTGGAAAGATCAATCATGGGAAAATAGAAAGACTGTATGCACAGGGAGACAGGTCTGGGGGCAGGAGTGCATGGGAGGGAAGGACACAGGGAAGAGGTAACTAGGGGAGGAAGTGGGAGGGGAGCTGTTGCATTGTGGGAAATTGTAGTCAATGTCATGAAACAAAGTGTATGTGAGCTGCTGTATGGAAAGTGAATTTGCTCTGTAAACTTTCACCCAAATCACAATAAAAATTAAAAAAAAAAAAAAAACAAGAACATTGGATGTCATGCAGGTGAGGTCATGCAGATTTATTATGCTTGCCCCTGACAAGTTAGATTGTCATCTGTTTGTGTATTTGGTTCATTCAGCTCAGGTATTCTTTTGCATACACATGTGTTTGTGTGTATATGTGTCCGTCTCTGTATTGCCTCCTTTAGTCATTTCTTAGTTCCTCCTATTATAATTATTTTTAAATTTGTTTTTCTCTAATTTTTCTTCATGTGTATAATAAATAGGACACGAGTCTAAGAAAGAAGGTTACCTGCACCCTGATATCCTCACTTGATTTCGGAAAATACATTTTTTATCATTCAGTTATGTATTTTAAAAAGGGCTTAAGTGATTAGTTTTTACCATTAGCTGTTTATAGAACTCGTTATAAACCTCTTGAACATATTGATGATAGAGGTGTTTTATTTCTAGAGGAGTGTTGTATATATGTGTTGTGTGTATGTATGTGTTTAGTTACAAATTTTGTTACTAAATTTGTGCTGGATTCCTAATTCTCATCTAGTTCCTGAAGAATTTATGTATAACCCCCTTACTCGATCATATGGTGAACCTCATAAACGACCAGAAGTTCAGAATTCAACTGTGGAGTTCATTGCTTCTTCAGATTACATGGTAATTATTCAGTGTTCAAGTCAATCATGGGATACAATTACAGGTTGTCCCCGACTTACGATGGGGTTCTATTTGGACAACTCAGTCTTAAGTTGATTGTAATGTAAGTCAAATACCTTTTTTTAGTTTTCGTTATTACTGCCTTTTTTTAAAATCTGTATCTTTATAAATCAGATCCTTTTTTGTCTTTAGTGGTTGGAAACAATTGCATATAAATTTACAACTATATTTTATATAATACATTCATGCATACATTAAAAAAAGGTACACAAATCCTAAAAATTTACTCTGACAATGAAGAAGAGTTGGACAGTGTTGGCATTTTGTTGTTGTGGTAATAGCTCCACTTGTGGAAGGTTCTGGACCATCTGGATTATCTCTGGGAAACGGGATAGCATTTCTGATCAGAAAATTAGTGAGAGTTGTCTGTGTGGTCCTTCTTTTAATTCATATATTTCACAGAAACATCTCACTGTGTCCTGAATCTGCCTAGGGACTTTAGCAAAGGGATCAGTGTTTGGGTCCATTTTTTCAAGTAAATGAAACCCCTCATTTAATTTAGAAAAAACTGCAGCTAATCCAGTGGTAACATTGAACATCTGTGAGTAAATATCTGAGAATGATAACATCAGCAAATTATGGGCTGCATCACTGTATGTAGTATATATTACTAATGATAAGATGTACCAAAAAAAAAAAAGATAGTTATAGTGCATAACTCAAATACATCAGAAGTCGGGGATTACCTACTTGGTCAGTTGTAATTTGCTGTTAAGTGAATTTTTGTCCTGATTTGAAGTTATCCCAAAGTATGAATTTTTAAGTCTATTCTGAAAGGTTATATTCAACAAGTAGGAAATTGTTTCCTGAAATTTATTTGATCTCTTAGAAGAATGCATACCATCACTAAGGAATACTAATAATACTTTATGATTAGCACTGATATCTAAAATTTGTTGCCGTGATTTGATTACTTGGAATAAATACAGATATTCTTTACTATTTAACATTTAAGACTCTCAAACAGCAAAGGTAATGTTTTTGGGAAAAACTGCAGTTTACAGTCTTTTAATGATATCACCATCTTACTGGTTCACCAGGTACAGATATTAAAATAAATGGATATTAACTTTACTCTAATTTTTCTAATTTAGTCATACCTGTTCTTTAATTATACTGAATCTAAGATCTCTTCTTTTCCATTTACAAAAACAAATTCTTGGTCTAAATTCTGCTTATCTTCTTTATCATATCTACTCATTTTTAATGTATTTATAATAATGTATCTCTTCTGTGTCCTCATTTTTAATCTTTGTTGTCAGTAAACATTAAAGTGCTGCTAGTTGAAAAAGATGAGCTAGAACAACTGATGTGTATGTAATTTCTGCTGCTTGGCCATTTCTTTCTTTATACATTGTTTGTCATTTTTATGGCCCTGTGTGTCTTAGCCTGTGTCCACTTAAGTTCTGTTTTCTTGTCTAATTTCATATTAACTGTGATAAACTCTTTCTTGATCACTCTCATGCTTTTACTTTCAGTTTTTTGCCATTATCACTTAAGTTCCCAACTCTGTTAGCTCCTTAGGAGTCTTAATCTAATTGAAGTGGTATGTGACCTCATATAATCCTTGGCATATTTAAAAAAAAAAAAAACTATAAATTCTTTTATATAACAGAATTTTCAAGCATATCCCAGAAAAGAGAAAATAATACAAGGAGCCCTTTTTACCCATTACCAAGCTTTAAAATGAATCAAGATTTTGCTAAATATGTTTTATCTATGTCCCAGCCTGCCCTAGTCTTCCTTTTCCCTCACCTACCCTGGAGTTTTTAAATGCTGATCTCAGACATCATTAAAGTTTATGCATTAATACTTCGGTATGTATCTCTGAGAGATAAGGATTCTTTAAAAACATACCTACAGTACTATCACAGGAAACTAAATGAACAATTTCTTAATGTCACCTAATGTCCAGTATGTGTTCTAATTACCCCAGTTGTCTCAGAATGTTACTGGTTCATTTGAATCAGGATTCATTCATATGTCTCTTAAATCTCTTTTAAGCTATAATCAGTCGCCTCACAAGTTTGTTTTGTTTTGAAATACCATTTCCAAACTTAAATGACTTTTTTTACACTTAGCCCTTGGGATTCAGCCAGTGCCAGGTAACCTGATAGCTAGTATTTGTCACAGATTGTCAGGTTTTGTTTTTCTTTTTTTGTAAGTATGTTTTAAAACATGTTTTTAGGACTTGATAAGGAATCTAGAGCTCACTATTAAATAATACATAAGCCCAATTTTCCTTTAAAAGACACCTTAGCCAATACTCCTTAACAGGAAAACTTTCAGCCCATCTATTTACCCATTAATTGTAGGATGACTGGCTTACGGTATTTTGTCTGCAACCAACTTTATAAGAAAAATGTGTAAGAAAGGAGCATCATTTTCATTAGCACATGAGATCTTAACAGAATATCAGCCCTATTCATATTTTTTTTGTTTAATATACTCAGTAAATATCAATAGTAATAGTGATACAAAAAGTGAATTGTACCAACTAGATAAATTACATTGTTTTTATTCCTTACAGCTTCGTCCTCCTCAACCAGCAGTTTACTTGTTTGTTTTAGATGTGTCTCATAATGCAGTGGAAGCTGGATATTTGGCAATTTTGTGCCAGTCACTATTAGAAAATCTAGACAAGTAAGAATTTTTTTTTTTTTACTAATAATGTATATGCATCTATGTTTGTGTGTATAAATGTGAAGTTACAGGATTGGGTTTGATTAAGTTTGATTACATTTATCTATGAATTAAAAGAGTACTTCCTGTGTACCATGTAATTCTTGGGTTGTTTTATGACTTATGACTAGGTAGCTGAATCATAAAATTTTAAAAGTTAATAAGGAGTTTAAGTCTTGTCTAACTATCCCTGTGACTTAGCAGCTCTGAACACTGGGGCCCAGAAAACTTGACTTGGCCAGAATCACCCAAGCATTAGAATGTGGATAAGAAACTAGCTGTGATTTATGTCTGAGCATGGAAATTTTTCATATACTAGTTATAATTGCACTAAATAAGTAGGATAAAGAAAGAAGGGAGTTAATTTATACTGAATATTTCAGGGAGCCAGAAACTCAACTTTTCATTTGGTGCATTAGTAATGAGCTATATTGTGGAAGTGGGAACAGAATATAGGAGGGGCAGATGGTTTGCTGAGAAGAATGGGAATTCCAGAATACTTAATTGTGCTCATGGGGAACCTATATATGGACCAGTAGGCTGTTGTTCTAGCAGAACAAGGGGATCCTGCCTGGTTTAAAATCAGAAAGGGAGTGTGTCAAGTTTGCATCTTTTCACCATACTTGTTTAGTCTGTATGCTGAGCAAATAATCCAAGAAGCTAGACTATATGAAGAAAAACTTAGCTTTAGGATTGGAGGAAGACTCATTAACAACCTGTGATACGCAGATAATACAACCTTGATTGCTGAAAGTGAAGATTACTTGAAGGACTTACTGATGAAAATTAAAGACTGTAAGTCTGCAGTATGGATTTCACCTCAACATAAAGAGAATGAAAATCCTCACAACAGGACCAGTAAGCAACAGCATGATAAATGGAGAAAAGACTGATGTTGTCAAAGATTTTATATCATTTCGTTCTGCAATCTACACCATGGAAGTGGCAGTCAGGACACCAGATGACATATTGCACTGGGCAAATCTGCTGTAAAAGACCTCTTTCAGGTGCTGAAGAGCAAAGGTGTCTCCCTGAAGACAAAGGTGCACTAAATCCAAGCCATAGTTTTTTCAGTCGTCTTTTATGCATGTGAGAGCTGGACAGTGAATAAGGAAGACCGAGGAAGAGTTGATGCTTTTGAGTTGTGGTCTTGGCGAAAAATACTAAAAGTACCATGGACTGCCAGAAGAATGAACAAATCTGCCCTGGACAAAGTGCAGCTGGAATGATCTTAGCGAGAATGGCTAGACTTTGTCTCACCTGATTTGGTCATGCTATCAGAAGGGACCATTCCTTGGAGAAAGATATGCTTGGTGAAGTGGAGGGTCAGGGAAAAAGGGCAAGGCCATCAACAAGATGGATTGACACAGTGACTGCAATGATGGGCTCAGGTGTAATGAGGATTGTGAGTCTGGCACAGGACCAGACATGGTTTCATTCTGTCATACATAGGGTTGCTGTGAGTCAGAAGTGATTCAGTGGCACCTAACAACAACAAAAACAGATGGTTTGCTTATACCTAGTTCTGATTCCTACCTCCATGTCTACCAGTTCAGCCATGAAGGAACTCTTCAGCTAGCTTTAAAAATGAAACTTTCAAGATGGAGGAATAGGTAGAGAAGTGACACAGACCCTCTTCAACAAAGAAAAGAAAAACTAATTGAGAGAGATACAGAAGATAATCCTAGAACCCTGAGCTTTGAAAGGAACTATACAGAAGTGGATTAGGTACCAAGCAGTGGAAAAATTTGAATGAAAACAGTGAGTACAGAGATGGTCAGAGCTGGGGACTATCAGCTACTCTGATGGGATCAACGGCCTGAATATTTCCAAGTGGTGTTGGGACCTGAGAATTGACCTAAAGATCAGCGCTGGTCACCAAGGACTGCAGGGACGAATGTGCTGGTGGCCTATGACTAGGAAGGGAAACGGCAAGGAGGGAGACAAACCTGAGTGCTGACTTTCCACTGTCCGGAGGACACAGTCATTATTTACATGCAGCAGCCATTTTGGATATTTAAAGTGACCAAGGGCGCAGCCATTTTGAATGTCTATAAGCAGCAGGCATTTTGGATATTTAAAGTGACCGAGGGCGCAGCCATTTTGAATGTCTATAAGCAGCAGGCATTTTGGATATTTAAAGTGACCGAGGGTGCAGCCATTTTGAATTTTTACAAGTGCAACTATTTTGGATTTTAAAGTGACAGCATTCTCATTCAGATTCCAGGGATGTGAGCATAGGCTCTGTTTGCTAAGGTCAGAGGGACATAAGGGAGGACAACAGGAGAGGAGACAGGTGGTGAGTGTATAAGTGCTGTCAACTAGTGAATAGAGGAGCACAGCACAGTACCCTGCTTGCGTAGATAACATACAAACAAAACAAAGAAAATGAAAACTGTGGGCAAGTAACTCCAACATACAATCA